CTAATTTCCTCTCTGGAGGCCTGGACACCTGTGAGTGGAACAGAGGCCCAGGAGGGCACACCCCCGGGTGTGGGGAGCAGAGGGCTGAGGCCAAGGCAGGCTTGGGGTCCCCTCATGCTGCTCCAGGACCATGGATCTTCTTGGACCTTTGTCGGCCTTGGTCTCTCCCTCTCACCTTTTCTTTTTCTCTCTAGTTTGAGAAATTAAGCAGAGGAAATAAAGGGCCCGGAATGAGAGGCTGCCGCGGGAAGTGGTGCTCAGGGCCAGAGAGATGATCAAAGGACTGAGCACAGGTTTTGTGTGCGGGATGATGGCCAAGTTTACTCCCCAGCTCTGCATGGCACAAACCCTAAGCACACACAACCAGGTGTAAGCCCCTGAAACACACACACACACACACACACACACACACACACACACACACACACGAGGTTTTCAGAGCCTCATCCTCCCCAACCAAAGCAGAGTGTCTGCTCCCGCGGCCACCTCCTTGCTGGTCTCCAGGGTTAACCTGGGACACCCCGGCCCCTCCCCTCACAGTCCTTGGGAACCGGACTGTGGTCTCCCCACAGAACTGTGTGTGTGTAGGGGGGGCGGGTGCTTCAGCTCAATTCCCTCAGAATCAGTCTGAGGCAGGGGGTAAAGTGGGGGTGACAGGGTGGCACTGGCCTGGGGGCTCCTAACCAGGCCCCGAGGCCCACCGGGTTGGGCACTGCCCAGCGAACCCTCCGAAGCGGGGCCCTGGGGCTGGCAGCCCATCCATCACAGCGGGGTAATTGCTCGGGGAGTGAGCGGGCCCTGCCAGCTGCGCCGTTGGGGCTCCGCGAGGAGGAACACTCCCTCTCAGGCCATTTATCAAGCTTCGCTGCAGTGCTTGTACTTCTCCCTCTTTTGTTTTAATCGAGGAAACTTTCTTGTAACGAAGATAAATGCAAGGTGAGGAATGTCTTGGCAAACACCCACGGACTCTGAATCCTAATTCGTTCGGGGAAGTGAGGAAGCTGGTGGGTACGGGCTTGGTGGAATGTCCGAGAGTCCTGAGCATCCCGACCCTGAAGGGAGTCGCAGGTGCTCTCTCTACTGACCCTCCATTGGCCCCTCCCACAGAGGGCTGATGGTATGGCCGCCATGTGCCAGCGCTGCCTTCAGCCTGTGTGCAGGTGCCTCCCCCTCTGAGGGCAGGTGTCACACCCACCTGCCCCCGTCGGCCTTGTGGTGCTTGCGTTGGTCCCAGTGTTCTGTGCACTCAAACAGTCCTCACAGTTCACACTTCTGCTTTTGGTGCTCGTCATCTTTGCGGTCCAGTGCTCACTGGGGCTCTCACCCTGTTGTGGTGTTGGGGTCTTAGACAGCGGTGCTGTCTGGACTGTGCATGGTGACAGCACTGAGTATCGGACTCATGGGCTCATGCTCACAGGGGGGGCACTTCCACCTCTTGTGTCATTTCCCACTGCCCCGACAGCCAAGGTGAAATATTAAGCCTTTGACAGAGGAGGGGACTGAAGCTCAGAGAGGTGCAGCCTGTGGCCCTGAGGGGGTCCCAGGTGGGATGTGGATGGTTCTGCCTACTTTAAATTCCACCTTCAGGAGCACAGGCGGTGGAGTCCTTAGGTTCAGAGGTCAGGCTCTCCCGATGGTCTGGTTCAAATTTCATCTCTACTACTTGCTTTCTGGGTGACTCTGAAACTCTTGTTGAATCTCTCCATGCGTCTGATGTTGTTGTTGTTAAAAAAGAAATTCCAGTTCCACAAAATGAAGATTCCATGAAATTCCATGAGAGAGCTGGTATTAAAAACTGCAGAGTGCTCTGCTGACAGTCTTATTCCCTTTCTTATGTTAGGGCATCGTTTAGCATTGTTCAATGTGAGCCGCTTTGTGGATAGAGTGAAGACCATGGCCAGGGGTGTTGCACTGCTCTGGGAAGCCTGTGGTCCCATCTCCTCCCTGGGGCAGGACTCTGGCACTGGGTGGGGCTGGGGTGAAGCACCCAGACCCTGCTAGCTTCTGGGATCCTTAAAAGGTAAAGGTAAAGGCCCTCCCGTTGATCGTCGATTTGCTCGAGCGGGCCCAGTAACGTCTCCATTGGAGACTTTGTTGTTACTGTGTCTGGCATATCGAATACTCTCGGTAGCTTGCCGGGCTCTCCGAGAGGGGCAGAGGAATCGAACTCGGGTCGGCCATGTTGGCCGCTTGTAAGGTGAACACCCTACCGCTGTGCTATTGCTAATTGAAAACTTTTCTGGGATCCTTATTTTATTTTATTTTATTTTATTTTTATTTTTGGATCCTACCCAGTGATGCTCAGGGGTTACTCCTGGCTCTGCACTCAGGAATCACTCTTGGCAGTACTTGGGGAACCATATGGGATACTGGGGATCGAATCTGGGTTGGCCGTATGCAGGGCAAACATTCAACCTGCTGTACTATCACTCTGGCCCTTTAGTTTTAGGTTATTTATTTATTTATTTATTTTTGGTCACACACGTTGTGGGATCTTTTGACTGGTGCTCCTAGGAGTCTCTTTCCCATGCTGCCCCATGGTGTGTGGATTTGCTGTGTCAGGAAGGGGCTCCCCTGAAGGCAAGGGAAAGTGCAGGGATTGACTAGTGATGTTTGTCATGGGGTGGGGGGCACGGAGGGCAGCACAGAGGCTCTGTCTGCTGGTCCCGGGCAGATTGTGTTAAGCTTCTCTGGGACTGAGGAGCTAGAGAGAGGAGAACGTCTGTGAAAGTGGGGAGTCTGACTTTCACACTCGGCAGAAAAGACCTTGAGGCTGAGCTCATTGTTTAGGAAGGGGCAGAGGAATATTCCTGAAAAAGGGGCTTGAGGGTGGGGGTGGGGGTGGGGGAATGGGGCACAAGATCTGGCTGGAAATGCAGCGCCCATGAGAGGAGGGGCATCCTGTGGCAGTCATGTGCCTGTGCTGACTACACGTGACCTGTGCTCACCCCTCCATAGGACCCAGCATGAGGCGGGAGGGGAAAAGAGGCAGGCCATCAGGTGTGTTTTTATTCATTTAAATGGTCATTTGGGGAGCAGTGTTCAGAGGCCGGTGGCCACTCCTGCTGAAACTTGATGGCTCAGTGCTCTGACCCCCAGGCCTGCATCAGGACCAAGTTACTTCTGTGGCTGATAATAGTTCCCCCACCCCAAATTTTAGGCACCTTGGCCTTCAGTACTATCAGTGATAGGGCATCATACATGTGTTCCAGCACCACCCCCTCCACTGTGTCTGCTCCCTCAGCCTCTCCCCTGCCCTGCCCCTCCCCCACCACAGGAAGCTCAGTTCTGTGGTCCAGTTCTCAGGCTCTGCTGCCTGTGGCCCTTCATTAACCCCTTACTAAGCTTCTCCATATCCCACACATGAGGACAAACACTCTGTATCTGTCCCTCTCCATCTGACTGATGTCACTCAGCGTGATACTCTCCAAATCCATCCACGTAGTGGCAAATTACAAAATTTTGTCTTCTCTTGTAACCAGGTATAATCCACTATGTTCATACACCAAAGTTTCCTCATCTACTCATCTGTTCTTGGATACTTAAGTTGTTTCTGTGACATCAAGCTTTTAGGTATAGGCTCTTGGGAGTGCTGAGGGGACATAGGACCGCCCAAGCCTGCTCTGAGTGTGAGGCAGAGGGAAAGGAAGTAGGGGCCAGCAGGAGGAAGCCCTTCGACGTCTTTCTAGCCCAGAACACTGAGATTTCTGGTGCTTGCCCCTGGGGTGCATGATGTCTTTTACTTTACATTGCAAAACTATGCCATGGCCCATGTCGGTAGAAAGTTCCAGGTCCAATAGAACGGGTCAAAATCCTGCCTTTGCCCACCAGTTACAGGACCTCGGCCAAGCACTCCATCCAGCCTTCCCGTCTCAGATCCCTTCTTCAATAGTTTGGACCCTAAAGGTGGCTTGAGGGCTGCAGCCCTGTTAGCCAGGGTCCCCGTGTCAGGAAGGGGGCTCAGCACTTTGCAGGCATTGGGTCTCGGAGCATCTGAGGTGGAAGCACCAGCCCCGGGTGACAGAGGCGCCGTCAGAGGGCAGAGGAGCTGCCGGGAGCCAGGCAGCCTGACCACGCTGCAGAGGTCACAGCCTCCCACACCCCCACCAGCCTCTGCGGCCCCCCGCAGAATCCCCAGGACGGGGAGGGAGGGAGTACAGAAGTTGGGGTGTGTGACTTAAGCCTAGGGTGTGACTCTATCCCTACTGTCACATGGTGCCCCACCCACTGCTACATTGCTGAGTATATGGCCCTGGAGACCCCTGAGCCCCACTGGGTGGTGGTTCCTACCACCACATCCCCCGGGTCTGGCACTGAACTGCTGGCCTAATTGACCCTTAGTACTCTGTGGGGAGTGGCCTCTGGGTCCGCGAGCACCATTGCAGAGGCCCTTCCCACCCCCAGCAAAAGGAAAGAAGAACTCCCACATGGAGATTCCCAAGGATCTGAGTGCAGAGCACATTCAAAGGCTTGAGAAGCGTCCACTGAATGACTGCGGCTCCCATCTCACAGGGCACAGGCCATTTCCCCAGATAGTGCGGGGAGAGGTTGACAGATGGAAGAGGGAAGCAATGCCTTCCGAACTGCCTGCTGGGTGCCAGCCCAGCTCCCAAGAGGGACCCAGGATTCACTTCCTTGCAGGTGGTGACCCAGAGGCCCTGTGAATGTCTGACAGTGTTACTCGCCTGCCCACAGCCTGCCATCAGGTGCCCGCAAGGCAGCCCCATGAGGATGACCCGAGGTCCCCCTCTTGCCTCTGCACCCACTGTATTCACACACCCTCACCAGGGCTGGGTGCCCGAGGACTGTGTGCCAGGTGGTGGGCAGCAGGTGAGTTTGGGCAGTCCCTGCATCTGTTCAGCAATGCATGACAGGGAGCTCCGCAGCTCTGCTCTGAGCACCCCCACCCCCTTCTAGGGTTCTAGATGTGAGCTGCAAGAGGGGAGTGGGGGCTTGTGGCCTGGTGGTTGAGGGGGCTCCCAGGGCCGGGGGTCTCCTACCTTCTTCCCCTGGACAGCTCCCATGGCATGAAGCAGGTCTGGGGGTGGGCCCGGCAGGGGTGCAGGATGGGGTCTTCCCTCCTGGAGTTGATCTCAGGAACCGGGGCCCGAGGGGTTCCCCCAGCCGGGGCCCCCCATCTTCTGGAGGCTCACAAAGGCGGCTTTCACGGTGGCCGGGAAGCTGGAGGTTAGGGAGATGGATCCTGACAGGAACAGCATGTCCCGGCCGCCCCCGCGGCCACCCTGTCCTGCAGCACACCCTCCCACACTCCCCGCTGGCCCCGGCCCTGCTCAGGAAGGGAAGTGGAGGGGGCCGGGTCAGGGAGAAGCCCCGCTGTCCTCTCACGCGGCTGCTGACAGCTCCGGCGTGATGGCGCGGAACCTCTGGCCGGCCCAGCGGGCAGGGCTTGGCCTTCTGAGCAGGCTGGCCACCGCTCAACAGGCAGGGCCCAGCCTGGAGCTGCGCGGGGTGCCTGGGCTCTGAGGCTTGGGAGCGAGGGGGTGTGGAGGGCCATGGAAGCCTCATGTTTTGCAGCCCCTGAGCAGAGCACCTGGATTAATCCCCGAGTACCATCAGAGTTGGCTGCGAGGCAAACAAACAAACAAGAATCCGGATATCCTTGGAGACATGTGGGGCTTGCCTCTGTCGGAGCAGAGACGGACAGCAGGACAGCAGGACAGCAGGACAGCAGGCTCCTTCGCTGGCTGAGAGCAGCAGCTGAGCAGGCACGGGGGCTGTGGCCTCTGTGTGGGCCCACCAGGGAAATATCTGGAGGCTGGATTCCAGGCCCGGGCCAGGTCCTCCCACCTTCCTCCCCTGGCAGTCACCCTCCGCTTCCTCACCTGAAACCCCTTTCTTTTTGGTACTAACCTGGGAGCAAGGCTGGGATCACCTTGGCTTTGATTCTTACTCTGGTCAGCACAGGGAAGGCACTTTGACTGCTTGGAGCCTCAGTTTCTTTCTTTTTTTTTTCTATTTTTTTTTTTTTTTGGTTACACCCAACAATGCATGGTGGTTACTCCTGGCTCTGCACTCAGGAATTATTCTTGGTGGTGCTCGGGGGACCATATGGGATGCTGGGAACTGAACCCCAGTCAGCCGTGTGCACGGCAAATGCCCTACCCAGTGTGCTATCATTCCAGCCCCTGGAAACCTCAGTTTCTGTGTGTGTGTGTGTGTGTGTGTGTGTCCCCTCCTGTGATTAGATAATCCAACGGGGCAGGGCTGTGTAGCAGGCTGGGGGACACCCATCGGAAGCCATTGTTTTGTGCAAGCATGAGTCAGGTCATGACTTTCCCTGTTTTCTCATCTTCCGCCGGACTCCAAGGGATGACAATGGACCCCATCTGGGTGGGGGAGTGAGGTGAGGTGAGGTCATTCATGGGCAGACTGGTGGTGAGTACGTTTGGTCAGCGGCAGTTCTTCATAGAGGGTTCCTGCTGCGGGTCGGATTCTATCTGTAGCATGATGCGGCTTGGCCTGGGCAGACCCCGTCACTGACTGTCCCACAGTTTCCCCGGAGGGGGTGTGGGGAAGCTCTCATCCTTCCCTTACTCAGGCTGCTGTGTCCGGCACAGGTGCGATGAAGACCGACGGTGGGTTCACAGAACAGCAGCTGCGGCGAAGGGCCAAGGATGATGCTTCAAGCTCTGGCTGCCCCGAGCACAGTCTGGGGATTCTCAGCTGTCCAGTCTCGCTTCCCTGCGTCTTACCTCAAGCTTTAGTTTAGGGGCCTCAAGTCTTAGTTCCCTCCGTCCAGGGTCAGAATGCCTTCCCCAACCTCCAAACTGCTGCGCGGGCTGGCTCTCTGCAGACTGTTGCCATCTCTCTCCTTTTCTTTTTAGTTTTGATTCTTGGATGATTCTTTCCTCTTTATTTCCCTGTCAGGCTCAATGACCACCTCCTCTGAGAAGGCTTCCCTGAAGCCTCCTCTGTGGAGGAGTCTTCCTGGAAATCCTCATTTTCTCCCACGCTAGACAGGGGATCATTTCTGCACTTAATGAGCAGCATGAAGGCTGGGAGCTGGACTGTTTCTTCTATCGGGACGGCACTTGGCATCCGGTGGTGGCTCCATAAACATAGGTGGAGGATTCCTATGTCAGGTGAAGGATCCCATGGATCAGCCTGAGCCGCAGAAGCAGCTCAGCGGGATGGCACTTGCCTTGCAGGTGAGAGACCTGGGTTTGAGTGTTTCTCACAGCCCTGACTCTGCTACAGTGCTCACTGCGTGCCTACTAACCCTGGAGCTGCTCTCTTTTTCCTAACCCCCACAACCCTTCCAGCCAAGCAAAACATTGACTTCGTCCTGCCGCCCATTCTACTGGGTCCACTCCTTGTCTTGGCTGCTCCTACTACTCTTCTCTCCGTTCCATTCTGGATCAGGGTACAACTCAATTTCCTACAGTGAGGACGGCGCTCACCGCTGTGTAAAGGCTGAGCAGGCAGGAAGCTAGGAGGACAAGAATGCCAAGCATCAACCCCAGAGATCAAAGACCTTTGGCGTCTGCAGGCAGGATGGGAGGAGATACACTGAATGTTGCTTTTTTTTACTCCCCCCTCTCCACCTCATCTGCTTGGAGTCTTGCGGATATGGGACCTAGAAGCTGCTGTGAAAGTCAGGACATGATCACCATGGTTGGCTAAAGGCTGCAGCCAGCTCCTGGGGGACACTGGCCTGAGTGGTGCAGTTCAGACTCATACCCTGAGCACAAGGCGTGGGCCCTCTGGTCCTGGGTAGGCTCCCCTGTCACCCCCTGTTCACTCCTGGGAGGGGGGCTGGCCCCCTAGCAGAGGAGGGTGCTGGCAAGTCAAAGCTCCAAATTCTGAGTTCATGAGCACCTTTTGGAGATTTCAGAAGGACTGTCCACTCTGGTGATAGAAAGTCAGTCCCTGGTCACGGATCAGTGCCTGGCACAGAGGAGGTGCTTGAATGATAGATGCTGGTGGCTGATCAAGTAAGTGCCCGTGGTGAGATGACCCAGGAGTCAAGGTCTGGATTTCCCAAGTCTCACTCTGTGGGACTTGTCTCTGAGCATCTCTCATCATCTGTAGAAATGAGGGCAACACTTGCTCCCACTTGACCCACGGTCTTCGGAGGAAAGCAGACCTTGTAGAGTCCAGAAGAAAATGACTACATATACGTCATCATCAAATTCTATAATGTGAGAGGGTCTTGAAGAGAGGGGCCCCCCACATCAAACCCACTTCCTCTCCATCTCACTGTTCATGGCAGAGGCATCTCAGGGCACATGTTTCTGAGGCGCCTGTTTCATGTAGCCATGGAGATATGACTGCATTTCCAGTCCTTATTCTGTGGGTCTTTGGATGAGTCACTTGACCCCTCTGAGTCTTACTTTCCAACATGTGTAAAGGAGATACCAGTGGTTCCCATCCCATGGGAGTATGGAGATTCAAGGATGTTAAATCTGGTAAAGTTTGGAATTGAGGTGATGTTCTTTGATGATTTAACAGTAACGATGATGCAGTCACAGTCCATTGGAAAAATTTCTCCTAAAACTAGTGGTCCTGGGAACCCTGCTGCCTTACAGCCTCGGGCTGCCACCTGCTGGCAAAGACTAGAATTACATCAGCTAAGAAGATGACCCCGGTAGCTGGGGGAATCCTCCTCCACCCCTATCACCCTATCATCCCTCCCCTTGGAGGGAGGGCTGGCCCCTTAGCAGGGAGGTCACAGGAAAGTCAAATACCCAAACTCTGAGCTCACGAGCACCTTTAGGAGATCTCAGAAGGACTGTCCACTCTGATGATGAGAAAGTCAGTCCACGAGTCTTTATATTTTTTTTTGCGGGAGTTGTGTCAGGGGAGAGGCTACACCCCACAGAGTTCAGGAGCTACTCACAGAACTCAGTGCTCAGGGGTCTATTCTGGGGAGCACTGCATGCGGGGCTAGAAACCTGGCTTGCGCATGCCCTGCTGCCCTGAGCCCACCCCCAGAGTGTCCTTTCTCTCTCCCGGTCTCTGTATCCGTCTCTCCCTGGAGGGTCTCCAAGCCTCCTTGCAGCTCCTTTGTCCACAGAAATGTTGCACCAGCTGCAACTTACCGAGGTCACTCCCTAGCATGTCCCTGCAACCCCCAGACAAAGCCCGAGGGAGCCCTTGTGCCCTGCTCCTTCGTACTGCTCCCTGCCCTGCACCATTCCTGCGCCAACTCCCTGCAAGGCTCAGAGGGACGCGGCTTCTTCCCACACGCATTTCCTGGTGACCTTCACATAGTCCTGTGGGACCAAAGAGCTTCAACCTGCACCTGCCCTAGATCGTGAGTTTCTCCACTTCAGTGTTGAGTGCCTTCCCCAACCAGGACGCACAGTGGGTGAGCAGGATTCTTCGTAGGGGAGGGGTAATAGCCCCTCTCTGCACAGATGAGTGTAAGCCCAGCGGTACTCAGGGCTTACTCCTGGCTCTACTTTCAGGGATCACTCCTGGCTGGGCTCGGGGACTGAACACATGTGGCAGTGCCAGAAGTCAAACCTGGGCTGGCCACATGCAAGAAAAGTGCCTTTTCCAGTGCATTATCCTCCGGTCCTTTTATTTTCATGGTAGCGCTGTAACACTGTCCTCCTGTTGTTCATGGAGTTGTTGCTTAAGTGGGCACCAGTAATGTCTCCACTGTGAGACTTGTTGTTACTGTTTTTGGCATATCAAATACGCCATGGGGAGCTTGTCAGGCTCTCTGAGAGGGATGGAGGAATTGAACTCGGGTCGGACGCATGCAAGGCAACCGCCCTACTGCTGTGCTATCTCTCCAGCCCTTTATTTTAACAACAACAACAAAAAATTGACCAAGGTGTTTTGATTCATAAAGTCTTCATCTTGATGTTTTGGGCTTACAGTGCTACTGGTACCCAACTGCCAACATCCCTCCTCTCAACACTAGGTCCCCCACCCTTGGCACAGACATTTTCTTAAACTGAAATCCCACCCCCCAAACTGCCTGACTGAGGCTTGTTCCTGCACACCGAAGTGCCCCTGCTGCGGAGTGGACACCCTGATCATTGTTTGCTGCTTTCCAAAAGCCTCCCGCACTCACCTGATGCTAAGGCTCCCGGGTGACTGCCCTAGAGCGCCATCTCTGGGGTGAGTTTAATGGCACAACATGGTCTCAGGACATGGTCTCAGGTCATCAG